ATCAGGATTTGATCTCATCTAGTCGACACAAAGAGCTCTTCGTGTAAGGCTGCACTGTTACTAATTACCATTGCTGTGGACATTTAATAACATATGCCTCTTACTGGATACCTAGTAAATGCTAGGCACTTAGTGGACATTTTCTCTAATCCTTTCAGCACCCGAAAGCAGCAGGGGTGGTATTAACCCCCCCACCAAGGTGTGATAGCTAGCTGCTGGTAGTAAGGGCTAACCTGGTTAACCAGCTCCAAAACCTCCCAGCTCCGTTTGGCCATATTTCCTGCTGATCTGGTAGCACACTATCTTCACCTTGAGGCACTATTTGCCCTGAGGTCTTTGCTACTCTACACATCCCTACATCTCCATCCCACAGCTCTTTTGATTGCAGTGCTTACATACAGATTATGCATTTGACCATAATGCAAATGTTTGCTTTTACCAGGAAGTATTTAAACAAGAATGCTGTGAAGTTGTAGCTTATCTGCTAACTTTATCACACAGCTGGAAAGCCTTCAGTGTTCCCCCTGGCAGAATAAAACCAAGGCGGCCAGCCTCCTTCACAGTCTGGCTCTCATCAGCCTGGCCTCCGGGTTTCCAGAGTGCCCTGGGCTCCCTCCATTCCTGCTTCTAACCACACACCTCCTGAATTTTTCAACCCAATAGCCCAGCATCCAGCAGAACGCCTGGCCCAAAGTGGTGTTCAGTAAATGCTGGCTGAAGGAAGGAAAGAAGAAATCTCTACACCATGGAGACAAAGATTTCAACCAGGAAATGCAGAAAGGGCCTTGGAGACTGAGTGAAATTTAATTGAGGTGAAATGAGATAAGGCTTAAATGAAGGCAATATGCTCACACAGTCAGTCACCTAGAGACCTACTTCAGCCTCACAAAAGGCCTTTCACATGATAATTGTAACAGCTACCATTTAGGGAATGCTCACCACATGCTGGGCACCAGATGCTTTACATATATTCTCATTTATGTATTTTTTTACTTATAATGATTATTATGATCCTTATGATTATGATTTAATTTCTGTCTTTCCCACCAACTCCACACAAACTCTAGGAAGGCAAGGTTTTTTACTTGTGTTCAGTGCCTGGCAAACAGGTGATCGACAGGTCACTGAATCTTCCACAGAGCCCCATGCAGTAAGGGTGACTTTTACCCCCACTTTATAGATGAGCAACTTGAGGCTTAGAGGGAAAGAGTGACTTTTGCAAAGGTACAGATGCAACAAGAAAACACTGAAAATAGATCCCTGAGCTCTCTTTCTCTCCATTAGCCCTGCAACTGCCCAGATGCAGAAATGTCCATTACTGGCCTTGAAGTTGGGAGGCACCACCTGCCTGCAGGACTCCTTAACTGACCAATAATGACAACAACATTGCAACAATGAGTAGTCACTGAGCACTTGCTATACAGCAGGCACTGTTGCCAGTGCTTCACACATTTTGACTCATAACAACTCAGAAGGACCTGCTCTGATCCCTTTTTGACAGTTGAGGGATCTGAGGCCCCGGGGAGGTTAGGGAAGAG